GGGCATCCTGGAGGCCGAGGAGCTGCTCTGTGCAAACGTGTGCTGGGCAGCCTGGATCTGCTCTGTGCGGGGAGAGAAGCCCCACCTCACAGGATATAAGAGGAAGCGCTCAGGATGGAGTGACAGGGCTGTGGCACTGTGCCCACTTCTACATTCTAAACAGTTCCTGCTTCTAGGTTGTAAAATAGAATCAGTCAGGGAAGCAACCAGATTGTAAACAGTTGCTCTTCCTACGTTCTGAGACAGACTTGGACAGGCCGACAGGGAAGAGCGCCCCCTGCCGGGGGCCTCCGCTCTCCACTGGGCCCTTCAGCCCATCTGAGGTCTTCATGGTGACGTCTCACTTGGGGCCCAAGACAAGAAAGGTCTGTGGTGTGGGCTGTGTCTCACACTTCCAAGCCCAGAAGCCTCGGATGTTGCCGGCTTACAGCCTCATGTCCTTCAGCCTCACCAAGAGCTACTCAGCTGGAGGAAGGAAGAGGGTTCACCAGAGCTGGTCAGTGTTGGGATGGAGCCATGTCTGCTCCTCAATGACTCCCTACTCCAACCCTTTACTGATGCAACTGGGATCATTTAGCCCAAACACACAGTGTGGTGTGGACCTCACCACACCTACCTGCCTCCCTGCAACCAAAGTCACAATTTCTCCCGTCTTTCAAGGAAACATGTTTATTATATGACCAAATTTGTACACCGGGCATTTCTTTTTATCTTAACCTGAGGATATTTTTCCACTTGGTGTTCAGACAGAGTAGGAGGGAGACAAAGAGGGAGAGAGAGAGAAAGAGAAACATCGACATGAAAGGAACACATTGAGTGGCTGTCAACCACACGACCAACCAGGGCCCAAGACAAACTGCAAACGACATACGTGCCCATATTGGGAACCGAACACGGGTCTCTCTGGACCGCAGGCCGATGATGTAAACGCTGACCCAAACCAGCCAGGGCTGTACTCCCAGGCATTTATTGCAGAGAAATGCAACTTATGGTCACACAAGTAACTGTGAGTGAAATAAATCCTAAGAGTCAGAAATCAGGAATTGCGTTATGGCAGCAAAATCTAAACAGTTAGCAGAGTGGAAAACGGTGGACAACATCGGGAGGTGAGGGAGGCACCCGTTTTCATACACAGAACTGGTAGAACTATTTCAATCTTAAAACAGGGATATATGTCATCCTGACAAAGGTAAGAACTAATTCTAGGTCATTCCTGTTGTAAGTGTTGCAAATAAAAAGAATGCCCACACTAGCAACTGTAGTGTTTCATAAGCTTGGTGGATATGAGTGATGATCAAAGTCCATTACCATGCTACACAGTAGTCAAAATATCACTGAAAATGGTCATTATAACTTTTAAAGATTTCATGAAATAACAAGTGTAAAGGTAGCTCTAATTAGAGATGCATAAGAACATTATGGGGAAAACCCATAAAATTGTGAATTTGAAGTCAAAAGTAAACCTAAATAGAGTATATCATGTCCATGAATGGGAAAACTCAGTATTACAAACCTATCAATTTGCCTGAGTTAATACACATATGCAATGCTATAAAATAATAATTCTAATATGATCTTTCATAAAACACGACAAAGTCATTCTAAAATGCTTCTGGGCCAAGAATAGGCACCCTGTTTTGAACAAGAAAAGGTGGGGAGATGTGTCCAAGGAGGTGTGAACATGGATTGTAAAGCTATCCTAACTAAGACAGGCTCGTTCCGACAGAGGGAGAGGCAAGTAGCTCAATGGAACACAGAGCTCACGGAAAGGACCAGGTATTCATGGAAACGTGGCATATGGCAAAGGCGGCGGTGTGGGGCACTGAGTGCTGGGTCAGTTATCCTTGTGGAAAATAATATTCCCCCACCTGCAACACTCACAGACACACACTCACACACACACTCACACACACTCACACAAACACACACACACGCATACACCCGAACCCGCACACACATGCACACACTCACACACACACTCACACTCACACACATGCGCACACATATTCACACTCACACGGAAAATATACCTAGATCAAAGGAATACATTGGAAGAGCAAAACTCGATCAAATATGAAATCAGTTTGTGGGAAAATTAATAAAATGGAGTTACATATATCAACATTATTAAAACACACAAAACTGTATTAGGCATAAAAATAAAGTTCTAGAATGTTGTATACAGTATAATAGCACTTCAATAACATTTAAAACATGTAAAGTAACATTAAAGATTGCTCAAAGATGTACACGTATGTTCTAAAAGTATAAAACCATGCTGGAGAATCATAATGCCAAATATTGAACAGTTTTTTCAAAAGGAACAGAGAACATGAGCCAGAATGTTACTGTATCAGAAAGATAAAAGGTGAGTCCATGGGTATTTTTATATTATTCATTGCACATTTCAGAATTAAGAAAAAAATGCTTATTCATCTTCGCGATTTCAAATATCTGTTGTTTAAAATGGAATCCCACTTGCAAAAGCTCTGGAAAAAAGTGAAATCTGCTCTGAATATTAAAAGTTGTTTGTGATCAGGGGAGGACGGAATCTGTTCTCTTCATCTTCCTGGTTCTGTTTTGGGAGGCGGCAGGGCCAGTTTGAAGTTCAGTGCATCAAGGTCCAGACATCCCCAATCTCCATGACCAAAGTCCATCCATGTCTCAGCTTTATCATCAGAGAGCAGGGATATGTTCGTGACGGAGGTGGGTTTGACAGGGAAGGGCAGGGGTCTAGGATAATCTGCAGGTTTGTGCAGCTTCTTCTCCCCACGGAAGCCGCTTGGAGAGGGCAGGAGGCAATATATCACATGGAAGTGTTGTAGGGAAAATCATTCATTCATTCATAAAAGAAATGGGTCATTCATTCATTCTGGTATTAATTCCACATATATTTACTGAGCACATGCTAAGTGGCAGGCACTCTGTTTGGCCTGGCTTCATGGCACAGACCAGAAATGGAGCCGCCACACCCTACACCCCAACACCTCTTTCTGAGATCTGAACCTCCTTCTATACCCACGTTCATCTTCGCCACTAGTCAGCATCGCCCAGTCTCTCAGTGGGTTCCAGAGGTTGACTTTGGCAATACTTTCTTATTCATCCCCAAGATATACCAAATGAAAACTGAAATATATAAGAGTTTCTGGGGCAACTATTGCAGTTTGGTCTGAAGCTACCTCTGCATCAACACCTTGACCACCATTTCCAGGGTCCCAAGTAATGTAATTTGAAAACCTTCAAACTCTAGGGCAGACACGGTGAGTAAGAGTTGGAAGCCTCTGAGAAAATGAAAGCATTCAGAACCTTCTCTTGAGGCTGAGTCAGGCTGTGGTTTGTGAAATTGTGGGCACACCCTGGACTCCTCTTGCCAGCCCAGGAAGTTGGCCCTGACATTCCTCCCTAAAAACTAAGGCCCGCCCCCAACTCACCTGTCACAGGCTCCACCACCTGCAGATGTGGGTGACTGTGAAACCCGTCAGCAGCAGCACTTTGAGGCCCAGGAGGAAAGTCACGAAAATAATGGCAGAAGTCCCAGGACCTAATACCAATGGACAGAAGAAGACATCAAACGAGGGCCTGGGAGTGTGAATACCTTTCTCCACTCAGGAGGCAGAAGTAACCCAGCAGCTCCCAGGAGCAGAGGTCACATGCATGCCCTCCCAGGGAGCTTGTATGTGGCATGGGCTGCTGGGGAGAGTCCGGGTTGGCAGGAAGGGAGGCGGTGCCTCATGCTGCACCAAAAGGGTGAGCACCCGCTCAGACCCTGCGATGGACACATTCACCCCCTGCAAGCCATCCAGGCTGATGTCCCATTGCTTTTCTGCGTGGACGTGGGAGCTCAGCTCCCTTGAACATGAGGCAGCTCTCCAGCCAGGGGGACGTACACGCTGTGGGTAGAATATCTGTAGGAGGCAGGTAATGGCCACCAAGTCCAAGGATGGTGAAGACTGGGACACTCACTGCAGGGCACACACACAGCCCAGAGAAAGCAGGCCCTGACTGAGGAGGTGCACTGTGGCAGCCTGGGACTGCTTTCGGCTGGGTCATCTGCCCAGGACCTGTCACAGAGGAGGACAGTGTAGGAGTTCCCAGATGCACGCCGAAGTAAATGCATGCTGAGTGACAGTGTGAATGCATGCGTGGATGGATAGACGGATGCACGGAGGGAAGAAGGAATGGGAACCGAGTCATTGTGCTCTTTCCTTTCTTTTCCAATCAGAATTCTGTTTTCAAGCTGTAACATGAATTAAACTTGAGGACATTATGTGAAGTGAAATAGGCCAGTCACAAAATGACCAATACTGTATGATATTCATGTGAGGCACCAAGAGGAGTCGTTCTCAGTGTGGCCGTCCCCAGAGCCTCCAGAAAAAACAAAGCCCTGCCAACCCGGGGTAGACTTCTGACCTCTAGGGCTGCAGGATAACCCAAAGGTCTTGTGTTAAGCCACTGAACATGTGCTTAGAGTGGAATTAGGAATCTATTCCAGGGAGACGAGGACATTTTTTTTTAAATCCTCAGCTGAGGATATTTTTCTATTTATCCTCAGACAGAGAGGGAGGGAGGAAGAAAGGGAGAGAGAGGGAGAAAAACATTGATGTAAAAAAGACACATGGACTGGTGGCCTCCCACACGACCTGGACCGAACTGCAACCGAGGTATGTGCCCTTGACCAAAATCGAACCCGTGACTCTCTGGTTTGTGGGCTGATGCTCTAACCACTGTGCATAAGTGCAAGGGTGAGACAGGAACATTTCTAAAGACTGATGTAACTAAAAGAAGAAGCCCAATTTAAAGTATATAACTTCTGGGCCGGGTAGGCAAAATAAAGAAAATAACGGAAAAACTGCTGTTTCACAATTGAGTGGTAAAGAATAAAAGGAGGAAGGAAATTGATGGTCCTGAAAGCCAAAGGAGAACCAGAAATTCTGAGGAAAACCAACCACAAACCCCAGCTCCACCAGCGGACATGGATGATGCCATGCTGACAGACAGAGGTCAATGAATCCAGAAATACTGTGAAAAACCAAAAATGACCAAACCGATGTGCATCCTGACACCAAGCCCATTGCACCGGGTCTGCAATGGCCAGAGCCCTCAGAGGCCCAGGCACGGTGTGGCTCTCACTGAGCTCCAGCCCCCTGACCCAGACACCCGAACACCTGCAGCCTTAGACCCAGCAGGTGTGGGTCAGGCACCTGAGCGCACCTGGGAGTCCAGTGCTGGGTGAGTCCCTGGCAGAGATGGAGACTCAACAGCACTCCGAGGTGGTCCAGGCAAGACGGGAACTCATGTCTCCTGTCTCTCTGTTTGGTTCACCTCTGAGCCCTAGAGTAAGGCCAGGGACAAGCAGGCCAGGACTCTCAGAGGTGGAGGGGAAGGCACACTGGCCCCCGGCCTGAGGACTGCGGGAAGGACCCGGTGGTCACAAATCATGGGTTGCCCTCCTCTAACCCCAAGGCACAGAGAGTCACCCAGGTGTGGCTTAGAAAAATAAAAAGTCTAAAATCAGTCATCTGAGTTACCCACCTCAATAACTCAGATAAGGGGAGCAAAATCAACCCCAGATGGAAGAACGGAATTTATCAAGTAAAGAGGAGAATAATCAGTGAAATTGAAACAGAGACATCATAGAGAAAACCCTTGAAACAAAAGCGGGTTCTTCAAAAAGCGCAATAACATTGAAGACTTTCAGCAAGACTGATAAAGGAAAAAGTGGAAACGGCAGATTTGCAGTATCAGAGGTAGAACAGAGGTAATCGCTGTTGACCCCACAGACATCAGAAAAATAAAAAGGAAATATTACCATCAACTCTACCACCAGAAGTTTGTGATTATTGCTGGTTCATTGTTACAACCATGAGGTCAAAGGAGGCCTGTGTGGTGACCACTCATGGTCACTTGGGTGCCCTGTTGAGACTCCAAGTCCCTGTCCTCAGGGCTCCCCCAGGGACTGCACAGAGCAGTAGGTCCAGGCATTTGCTGGGATGACCCTCCTGGTGCGGACGGAAAAGTCCAGGGTGGAGCAGAGACCAGGAGGAGGTTAGATGGAGCCAGGAGGAGGGAGGGACTGACATGGGCGGTGAGTACAGGGACTGGGGTGAAGAAAGCCAGAGGCAGGACACTGAACAGGATGGTCTCCCTCCCTCCCTCTCTCTTTCCTTCATGCACATTGGTGTCCAGAGCTCTATAAAGGTAAGTCCCAAACTCTTACCCGTGGTGACTCTTGGAGTCTGAGGTTTGGGAGAAGGGAACTCTCTTCAAAATGCTATTTATCTCTACAGATTGTTTGATTGTTCTATAATAAGCATAAATTCCTACTCATGACATTCAAAATGATAAAATCTAAAAAGCAGTTCAGTTAGAGCGGAGGCCTCACCAGAGGGTCCATCTGTGCTCTGGTCCCTCTGATGAGCAGAGGCCTTGACTGTGAGGTTAGTGGTGACCGCCGGCTGCCCGTCGTGCTCCACCAGACAGGTGAGCATCACATCCTCCCTGTGGGCAGACAGGTGCACCAGGAGCCAGCTGCTCCAGCTGAAGGTCCCGTCCTGGTTCTCCATGCGGGCCGAGGCCGTTTCTGTTCGGGACGTGTTTCCATTCTCCAACCAGGTCAGCTGGAGGTGCTGGGGGTAGAAGTTCTTCACCAGGCAGGTGACATTCTCCTGGGTCCCTGACACAGTGTGCTGGGTGACCTTCAAGGTGGGTGGAACTGAAACAGCACAGGGCAGAAGCTCTGAGCTCATGGGACACAGATCACAGAGGTTAGCTCCCCCCGCAGCAAGGGACCACCCAGGACAGAGCCAGGTATGCAGCAGAGGCTCCGACACCGGCGGTACTTTCATATGAATGAAATCTCAACGTACCATAATCTGCACACAGCAGGTGCTTGGGAACCGGTAGCTGCTATTAGGGCAATGTGATTTATCTATTTTTTTTAAATCTTCAAAAATGATATTTTTTACATTAAATAGAGCTGGAGGGATCTAGAGAGAGAGAATCTTCGATGTGAGAGAGACACATGGATTGGTTGCCACCTGAACAACCCCAACCGGGGTGGGGGACTAACTGTAACCAAGGTATGTGCTCTTGGCCAGAATCGAACCCGGGACACTTTGGTCCACAGGCTATGCTCTTACCACTGAGCCATACTGGCCAGGGCAGGGTAATATGATCGAAATCAACCACCACGGCCCCTGGCATGCAGTTGGAACAAGATAACTGTAGTACAATCAATGAGATCAGCAAGCACATAGCAGTTTGGTTTATCGTATGCTCAGTAAGAGGAGTTGCTATCACTAAAGTAGATGAAATTGTCAAGCACACCACTTGCCATGTGGTGGGTGTGCACCTGGCAGCTGCCATCAAACAGTGGTGAGTGATGGGCACATCCAGGTGCCTGGTGACGGGAAGGACTGTCAGGAATTAGATTCCAGGCAATGCCAGGCCTGAGCACAGAGCAGGGGGAGGAGCTGGATTGGAGGGTAGGGGCCAGGTGTGGGCCTGAGCTGGGTGTGATCGGCACCTACCTCGGATGGTGGCAGACAAGTTGGCGGTCCCACGAAGGGTAGTGTCACCCTTTAGGGTGTCGTGGGCCACCTGGCAGATGACCTGGGAGCGAACATCCCTCGGGGCCAGTACCACCTTGGCTGTGCTGGAGATGCTGTAGGAAGGGCTGTCTCCCTCTGGGTCCACGGTGGTCTGGGAGGCTGGGAGCTCATTCCCATCTTTGAACCATTTCAGGGTGATCTTTTTGGGGGAGAAGCCGTGGGACTCACAGGTGAAGCTCACTGTCTGCCCAGGTGTGGACCGCCCCGTGGGACCCGATACCACAGGGGAGAGGGTTTGGCTGTAACAGGAGCATAATAAACAGTGGGTATGACTGTGATAACATGCCGCACTCTTAAGAACCTTCTCAATATTGTTCCTTCACCTCATCATGCTGGGAGGTGTCACCATCCTCATCATGCAGAGGAGGACTCTCAGCCCCAGAGGAGAACTCTGAGTGAGGGCCGGGCCCACAAGCGATTCAAGGCCTGAGTTCAAGATCATCTTCGTTCCTCCCCAGGTGACTTCTCACAAGACTGGTTGATTGTATTAACAATAATTTGATAAATATTATATTATTAAACTACTGTACAAATTTTCTGCAGGTGAGGAACTGAGGCCAGTAAAGGGAATTGGGTCACAACCTCGAAATAATACCTGATTCGGGGGTGCTATTCTCTGGTGGTGATTCAGACAGAGCACCTCCAATTCTATTAACTCTCCTGACAGGAGTCCATGATTATCACCATTTTACAAAAGAGAAAGTGAGGCAGAGAAATGAGGGGACTGTCCCCTCCTACTGCATTCCAGGGGTATTTTCTTGGGCCTCCAAAATATTCAGGACCATCACTAGCAAGTATCCACCTTCAGGACCCACCATGACCACGCCCTCTGCAGGAGGAGCGGTGTCGGAGTCCCCAGGCCTGGGGACCCTGCAGCAGTAAAAGGAAGCTTGGGCTCAGGCTCTGGGTCTAGAACACACACTTGCTCAGGCAAGGCCCCGAGCAGCCTCTAGGAAATGCCTCCTCCTCCTCCTCAGTCTGCGGATCCAGGGAGATGCACATGGTGTTGTGCGGGGGCAGGGACCCTCCTGCTCTCTCCAGGCCGCTGTCCTCAGGCCGCTGTCCCCAAGCCACTGTCCCCAGGATGCTCAGTGAAGGAAAACCACCACAGCGAAGGGACAGCCTCCTTTCTTCTCTCATACGCTGGGCCGTGCCGTTAGGAACAGGGCCAGCACCTCACGGGTTATCTGTGCACCTGTCCGATAGGGGATGTAATGCCAGACTCACCTCCCCACAGGACTGTTTGCTTTGCTAAAGGACAAAACAATTCAAGATTTTAGGAGAGGGAGCTTTGTCCCCACTTGGCAAGCACAGTGGTGTTAGCAGAGGGCAGGAGCTGAGGGGCAGGAAGCTTGGGGCTCAACCTTACCTTTCCTACCTGCTCAGGTCAGGCCCACTCTCTGAGCCCCAGTGTCTTCATCTGTCAACATGGCAACAGATGTTCTCAAGTGTAAATGCCACGAGGACGACGCGGCATCTGGCATGCTGCCGCTCCCCACCCCTGTCCTTACCCAGCCAGGCGCCATCCGGGTCGGTGGCTTGGGGACCAGGACGAGCACTCTCCCAGGAGGCAGCAGATCTGAGTGGCCCTGGGGCCCTTACTTCCCGTGATTGCCTCAGCAAGGGAGCGGCATTGAAGTTTCATAGTATCTGCAAGTTCAGGATAATCCACCTTCCCTGCCTGTGTCCAGGGGCTGTGCGGAGACTCAAATGTTACCACATCTAGGAGAAAACCTTGGCAATATTCAGACACATTACAATGCACACACCCTGGGACCTAGCAATGCTGCTTCCTGTGGGCATCTCCCTCTTGAGTAGGGTGATGCGTGGACAGGGTGTCCCCTGCAGCTCTGTTATAATAGCTCAGGGTCAGGAACAATTCACATCCATCAGCAGAAGGCAGTCAGTGAACGTGCTATCTCCACCCTGGAGGGGGAGGCAGCTGCCGAACAAGGGGCAGCTCTGGGAGGTGATGTGGCTGAAGGTTGGGAGAGGTTCCCAATCACCTTGGGCCTCGGATCTGAATGCGAAGGGCAACTTCACCTTTGAGAAAACGAGGGAAGAATTATTCTAGCTCCCTGTTCTATGGTTTTGTGTAACTAGCTTTAATTCAACGCCTACTATGCACCATGCTGTTTGGTGGAGAGTGTTCAAGGCCAAGGCAGAATGAAGGCGGCTTGGAATCAGAGTAGACTCTGCAATTACCCTCCCTCAATGGCCATGTGATCATGGGTAAGGCTCCTTGCTCCCTCTTGGCCTCAGACTCCCCATCCGTAAAAGGAGATTGGGCAGGATGGTCTACAGGACCTTCCTGTGCTGAAATTCAAGGGGTAGGATTTAAAACGAAGATCCTGGGCCTGTGGTAGAAGACCCTGACTGAGCATCTATGTTGCCTAAATGGGGCGACTCCCGAGTCACCACATGGGGACCTCTTCCCTGGGTGCAGGACATTCAGAGCAAACTCGACCCAGAGCCTCAGTGACAGTGCATCCTTGAATCACAGGTGGGTTTTCTGGACAGACACACAGGCAACACGCCACCTGGGCTGCCAGAGTCAACAGTGAGTCTGTGGCTCTTGGGAATTTTTCTCCTGTGATGTTGCAGAGGATGAAATAAAGAAACCTGTTCTCCCCCCTCCCTGTCCTGGAGGAGAGAAGGCAGTGTCGTGGCAGAAGAGCCTGTTGGCTTTGTTCCCTGCAGCTCCCCCGGCACCCAGAGCACAGCCTGGCTCACAGCAGGTGCCCAGTAGGCGTCAGTAAGGAGGAGACTGGGCCACACTGAGGGGAGCACTCTCTGGAGGCAGGGGTGAGGTCTGGCTTGTGACAGGCAAGTCACTCTCACCTTCAGTCCCCTCACCCTGGAACCACGGGGCTGGATGGGATTGGAAGGGCCGGAGCTAGGAAGCCAAGCACACATGGTTCCAGACTTTCCCCATCTTAACCAGCCATGGGGCCTGAGCAAATAGCCTGACCTCTCCAGGCCTCGACCTCCCCGATCTGCAGAAGGGGTGCAACCAGACCATGAATCAGATCACGACTACAAGACCCCACCATGGCACCTGATTCACAGAACTGAGGGCATTTTCACTGACTGTTATCACACACCAGGGACCTTAGTCCCACACTGTACTCACCACTCACGGTGAGCTGAGTGCCTGCTCCAGACCTGAGCTCCGTGTCAGGGCTTCCTCTCCGGAACTTCACACAGTAGTACATCCCTGTGTCTGCTGGGGTGATGTTACTGATGCGGATGGAAAAGTCCATGTTGTCTCTCCTCGTGGTGTCTGCGACAAGTGTTACTCGGGGGGAGAGGCTGCCTTCTTTGACACTGTGGATGAGCTCCCGGCCTGATCCTGTCACCCTGAACCACTTCATGGGCCCAATGGGGAGCAGGGAGGTCACAGAGCAAGTCAGAATGGCCGTCTCTCCGGCTACGACGGTCACTGACTTCTCAGGCTGAATCACCTGCAGCTCCTCTTCTGCGCCTGCTGGAGGGAAGCACAGAGCAGTTACTATCCGTCCATGTGTGAGCTGCAGGTTCTGTCAGGTGTTTACCAACAACAGCTTCACTGACCGAGTGCACACCCTGAGCGGGCCTTGAGCTCAGCACATGGCATATGTCATACGTGTGACCCTCACAGTGAGTCTGTCACATGAGACTGTTACAAATGAGGAAACTGAGGCACAGAGAGGTCAAAGTGATGTGGCAGAGAGGGGGTTTAACTGCTGAATCATCTCTGAAGTGTCATACTTCCCCAAGAATTTCTGTTGTCCTCTCCTTGGTACATGGGGGGTCGCACTTCTGGATGGTTGCGGGTGTGACGATGAGAGGTCCTTAGACCACTGAGTTGTGAGCAGACGTGATGAATGCATTTTGTGGGATATTCACTAACTGTAAGAACCTCTTTTGCACCTTCTCTCCACAGAGATCCACAAGTCATGATGGGGTCTGCTCCATCAGCCTGGGGACCTGAGTGACAGGGATGTGCAGAGCCCCCAAAACACACATTGAATGTGTCATTCAAATAAGATGTAAAACAATGTTACGAATTTCTTACATTTATTTTCTCCATAGTATAATCATGTTAGAATAGGTTTCTAAGGCTGCTTTAAGAAAATATCAAAATCTTAGTGACTTGAAACAACAGATATTTATCCTAAAGTCCTGGAGGCCAGAGGTCTAAATACGGTGTCCTGGGAGAAGTTCAAGGTGTCAGCTGAGCTGCATTTCTTCTGGTATAAACTTCTCCGCTTTTCCAAATTCTAGAGGCTGCCACATTCTTTTTCTCTTGGTTCCCATCTCTGTATTTCTATAACCTCTTGCTTCTGTTGTCACTTGCCCTTTGTTAAAATCAACTTTTTTATCTCCTTTTTATAAGGACCCTTTTGATAATAGTGTGCCTACCTAATAATCTAGGATAATCTTTCCATATAAAGAGTCTTAACTTAATCACTTCTTGAAAATCTTTCTTTGTCTTGTTTGTCAAATAAAGTAAAATGTTCACAGATTCTGATTATTAGACATGGACTTCTTTGGGAGTGTGGGGACATTGTTCTCTCACACACATCTTTTCTGACTGTTAAGGAAACCAGTTGCTGCAGCAAACGAAACCTGTGTATGTAGCATTGTGACACAGAATGAATGACAAGGCAACTTACTGGAATCTGGAAGAACTATTCAAGCAGTGCACTGGTGAAACAGTTTGCAAAGTAAAAATAAAAATCAGTAAGAGAGGGAAAATAAATTATTCCAAAATATAAAAAGATCAAACAATACACTTAAAATAAGACACGTAAAGAAGAAATCAGAAGGCAAATTAGAGAATATGTTGATGCAAAAGAGAATGAAAACACAACATATCAAAAGTTATGATGCAGGTAAAGCAGTGCTAAAGAGGGAAATTTGTAGCTGTAGATGCATACATTAAAAATGTGAAGAGATAATAACTCAATAACCTCATTATACACCCTACGAAATTAGAAAAAGAAGAGCAAAATAGCACTGGCCGGTTTGGCTCCGAGTTAGAGCACTGGCCCACGGACCAATGAGTCTTGAGTTCAATTCAGTCAAGGGCAGGCATCTCATTGCGGTTCGTCCCTCGCCCTGGTCAGGTCATGTGATATGGAGGCAACCAGTCAATGTGGCTCTATCACATTGATATTTCTCTCTGTCCCTCTCACTCTCCCTACTTACCACTCTCTCTAATGATGAATAGAAAAATATGCCTGGGTGAGGAATAAAACGGAAAAAAAAAGAAGAAGAAGAAGAAGAAGAGTAAAATAATCCCGCAACCTAAGGTAGCAGAGGGAAGAAAAAAACATTAGAGGAGAGATAAATAAAATGTGAATAGAAAAGCCCGGGCCATTTGGGCACAGTGGTTAGAACGTCTGCCCATGGGCCAATGAGTGACAGATTTCATTCCCATCAAGGGCATGCACCTCCATTGCAGTTCATCCCTGGCCCTGGTCAGGTTGTGTGACACAGAGGTAACCAGTCAATGTGGCTCTATCACATTGATGTTTCTTTCTGTCTCTCTCACTCTTTCTACCTACCATTCTATCTAATGATAAATAGAAAAATATCCTTGAGTGAGGAATAAAACAAAAAGGAAGAAGAAGAGCAAAATAACCCACCAACCTTCGGCAGCAGAGGAAAGAAGAGAAAGATTAGGGGAGAAATAAATAGAATGTGAATAGAAAACAACAGTGAAAAATTAATTAAGAATTCCAAAATGGCGGCAGAGTGAATGGAAGCTACACAGATCATCTTTCAGAGCAAACTGGCATTACAACTAAAATAAACACAAATCGTCAGGGAAAAAGCAACAGAAAAGCAGCTTGCGAGGACCATATAACCAGGGATACTGAATCAATCCTGGTAGGATTGCAGAGACACCAGAGGGGGGCTGAGAGCCCACAGACAACAGTGGTCTTAGCTGTGATCAGTGCACTCGGGATTAAACTCCAAAGCAGCTCCACAGCTCAGAGAGCCAGGACAGAGGCTAAAATTGCCACAGCCACTCACCCTGGACTCTGGCAGAGGGAGGGCAGACTGGACTGGAACTGTATGAGGACACTCGGGATTTGGAGGGCACTCAGAGCTTTTGCTGAGTTTTGGTCCTGCAGGACTGTGGCCATGATCTTGAGGAAGCTCAACAGCATGAGTAAGGACATCAACACCATGAGTAAAGACATAGAAACACGGAAATTCAACCAACTGGAAATGAAAAACCACCAAGAAGAAATGAAGAATGACATAGCAGAAATAAAGAACACATTGGAAAGACTAAACAGCAGAGTAGGGGAAGCTGAGGACGAGAACAGTGAATTAGAAGACAGGGTAGAAAAGAATCAACCAATCAGAAAACCAAAAGGAAAAAAAAATTAAAGAACTGGAAGATAGCTTAAGAGAACTGTAAGACAACAAAAAATGCAATAATATTCGCATCATTGGTGTCCCCAAATAAGTAAATGAGCAAGGGTTAGAGAATATGTTTGAAGAAATAGTGACAGAAAACTTCCCTAATTTGGTGAAGCAGAAGGCATTCAAGTTCAAAAAGCACAGAGAGCCCCAACTAAGAAGAACCCAAACAGGCCCACACCAAGACACACTGTAATTACAATGCTAAAATTAAAGACAAAGAGAGAATCCTAAAGGCAGCAAGAGATAAGCAACAGGTTACCTACAAAGAAACCCCCATAAGGCTATCAGCTGACTTCTGAACAGAAACACTACAGCCCAGAATGGAAGGGCATGAAGTAATCAAGGTCATGAAAAACAAGGATCAGAATCCAAGATTACTCTACCCAGCAAGGCTGTCATTCAAAATAGAAGGTCAAATAAAAAGCCTCCCAGACAAAAAAAAAAAAAAAAAGGCTAAAGGAATACATTAGCACCAAACCAGCACTACAAGAAAGGTTAAAAGGACTGCTGTAATTAGTAGAAGAAATGGGAAGAAAAATATTATGACCCTAAACAAAAATGGCAATAAATAAGTACATATCAACAATCGCCTTTAATGTAAATGGATTGAAGGCTCTGATAAAAAGACACCGAATAGCTGATTGGATAAGAAAACACGACTCAAATACGCCCTGGCTGGTTTGACTCAGTGGTTAGAACGTCGGCCTGCAGTCCATAGAGACCCGGGTTCGGTTCCTGCTAAGGGCCCGTGCCTCGGTTACGGTTTGTCCCCGGCCCTGGATGGGTTGTGTTGGTGACAACCACTCAATGTGTCCCTTTCACATCGATGTTTTTCTCTCTCTTTCTCCCTCCCACTCTATCTGAACAAAATATTGAAAAATGTCCTAGGGCGAGGATAAAAAAGAGAGAGAGAGAGAAAACCTGACTCATATATATGTTGTTTACAAGAGACTCACCTCACACCAAATGACTCACATAGATTGAAAGTGAAGGGATGGAAAAAAGTCTTCCAAGCAAACAGAAAGGAAAAAAAAGCGCAGGTAGCAATACTCATATCTGATAAAGTAGATTTCAAAATGAAGGCCATACCTAGAGACAAAGAAGGCCACTACATAATATTGAAAGGATCTATCCAACAGGAAGATATAACCTTGGTCAACATATATGCACCCAATATAGGAGGACCAAAATATATTAAAAATCATCTGGAGGACTTCAAAGGAGAAATTGACAACAATACAATCATAGCAGGGGACTTCAACACCCCACTGACATCAGTGGATACATCCTCTAGACCAAAAATTAGCAAGGAAACAGAGACTCTAACTGATGCACTAGTTCAAATGGATTTAATAAATATCAAGAGAGAATTACACCCCAAAACTGCAGAATTCACATTCTTCTCAAGTGCACATGGAACATTCTCAAAGATAGACCACATGTTAGGGCACAAACTAAGTCTCTACAAGTTCAAGAAGATTGAAATCATATCAAGCATCTTTTCAGATCACAATGGCATGAAACTAGAAATCAATTACAAGAACATGCAAAGACATTTGAACACATGGTAGAGGTTAAACAGCATGTGATTAAACAATGAATGGATTACTGAGAAGATCAAGGAAGAAATTAAAAACATTCTGGAAACCAATGAAAATGAGCACACAACAACACAAAATTTTGGGGATTCAGTGAAAGCAATTCTGAGAGGGAAGTTCATAACACCACAGGCCTACTTCAAGAAACAAGAAAAATTTCTAATAGGCTATCTAACCTCACAACTTAAAGAACTAAAAAGCAAACAAACAAACAAAAACCCCCAGAGCAAGTAGAAGGAAGGAAATATTAAATATCAAAGGAGAAGTAAATGATAAAGAGACGAAAAGAAAAAAACAATTCAAAGAATCAATGAAACAAAGAGCTGGTTTTTCGAAACAATAAACAAGATTGATGGATCCTTATCTAGACTCACCAGAATCAAAGAAAGGGAACCTAACTTCACAAAATCAGAAATAAAGAGGAGGAGGAATCAGTGGGGGGAGGGAGGAGAAGAGAAACATC